ACTCTGTAAACGCGCCCTTTGCTCAGCGCTGCCAAGACTTGGTTAAAGTCACTGAGGAGTTTCCCGCAAAGGTACAGCTCTGCTAGCGTCTCTGGGGCGTGTCTCATACACTCCTTGCGAAATGTTTTACTGATCCCCACCTCTGAGCACTGACTTGCACGTAACTATCACGTGCAGGCCTGACCTGCACCCTAACTATCACATTCATAGACACAGAGAAACACGTGGATATGCAGGCCAGGATCGCTCCAAGCGTCCCCGCGGCCGCTCTGCTCCCCCTCCGGCTCACCGGCGTCCTGTGAGGTGAGCATGGGGGCCCCTCCTACAGATGGGGAAACTGAGGCTCGGAGAACTCGAGCCACGCGGGGAGGAGGGCTCGGGGGCCACACCGCTGGCTGACCCGAGGCTCCACTTTAAAGGGAGCTCCCTTCCTCCGGCCCGTTCACCGCGCGGTAACCGAGCACCGCCGGGGCAGGCGCGGGAGGCGACAGGAAGGTGGCACGATGGCGCTGCCGGGCCGGCCCGGGGCTCGCGGAGGAGCGGAGACGGCTCCGGCGGAGGTTCGGGGAGGCCGCTAGGACGCGGGACCGTCCCGCGCGCGGCTCCCGCCACTCACCTGTGGGGTCCACAGCGTCGCACGCCTCAGGCACTGAGGCCGCCACTGGGCTTCCGGGCGCCGAGATGTTGCTATCAACATGCGCTAGGAGCCACGCCCCCTGGCCGAGCTAGAAAGTCTCCCCAAGCTTCGCGCGCTAACTCAAAAAGACCTTGCGCAGAACGATGTCGGCCGGGTGTGTGGATTCCACCTGTGAATACGCGTGCGTAGTGGGGGTAGCTGCGCCTCTTGGGCCTGAGCTCACGCGCTGTATCCACGGCAAGGACTGCGTGTGTGCGATGCGAGGCCAATTATTGCTGCCATGGAGGCTTGTGCCCTAGTGGGGAGCCCGCGGAGAGCAATTACATTGATGGTCCTTTCTCCGGCAACTATTTATTGAGCGTCCACTGTATGCCAGACACTGCACTGGGTGCTGCTACCTAAGCGAGAATGACCGAAGCAGCCCAGCAGGGAAGGCCAGATCGCCAAGGAGAGGGTCTCTGAGGTCTCCACGTTTCCCCCCGCACCTAACACACCGGCCGGCACGGAGATGTCTGCGGACCGAACCGCCGAGGGGAGACGCGCCGTCGCTGCCTTCCGGGATCGGGCTGCGGGAGACCAGGCGGCAGCGCTGCCGGGAAGGGAACCGACGACGGGGCCGGTAGACCGCGCTCTGGACGCCCCCGGTGGGGCGGGGCCGGCGGCGCCAGGGCTGTGGCCATGAGCTGGGGGCCAGGGGCCAGGGGCCCGGCGGGGCGCGCACCTTCCCACGGCCGCTCAGATGGTGGCGCCTGGGGGTGGAGGAGACCCTGCAGAAGCTCGCGCTGCGCCGGAAGAAGGCGCTGAACGCCCAGGAGATGGAGCCGGACTGGCTGCGCAGACGGCGGGCGGCGCCATCGACCCCGCCGTGTTCAAAGATCCGGCGTGGGCGGGGCTGCGAGCTCGATGACCCCAAACACTTTGCTTTCCTCCCCCTGCCCTTGTTGGAGTCCCGGAGGCCCAGGGCAGAGTTGGGTCTTGAGGGAGGCGACCACGCCCGCCCGCTGTCGCTGAGCCGCCTGGCCTGGGCGAGGAGGGCTCCCTGCGCACGGGTCTGTCTCTGCAGGATCCCAGTGGCCCTGCTGATGCTGCACGTGGCGCCCCTCGCCGTCCTCCAGATGCTCCGTCCGTGTGCCGAGCAGAGGCTGCCGAGCGTGCCCCAGGCCCCTGTGGCTGTGTCTGCCCCCATCGAGCCTGCCTGAGTCAAGAGGTCAGAGTTGGGCCCGGTGCTCCCCGCCCGCCCCTGTGGCCCGGGCAGCTAGGTGGCAGGGGTAGGGAGGGGGCAGCGCCGGGCACGGGGTGGCCTTGGCCCTCAGTGGACAGGCCTTTCCGTCCGTCTTGTCCCAGGGCCCGCTGGGCCATCCAAGGGCTGGCCCCTTGGGCTCCAGTTGCCAGCTTCGGCCTGGCTGCGCCCTGCAGAGAGAACCTGCGGATCGGGTGGACGCAGAGCGGGTGCCCCCGGGAGGCCGAGTAGGCTGGGCCTCATCTGGGACATTTGCTGCCCCAGCCTCTCCTCCCCTCTGCACTCCTACCTTCGTTCCACAAACCCGGGAATAAGACTGCTTTGGTGCCTGTGCTCATAGTTTATCTGGCCTCAGGGAGCTGGGCAGGCAGAGGCCTTCCTGCCACCCCCTCACCTGTACTCCACTGGCCCCAAGTCCTGCTCTGGAGTCTGGCCAGATGAGCTTCCCTCCTCGGGTGGTGGGGTGTGGGATGGGAGTGAGCGTGGCAGCCCCTGGCTGCCTTGGACACTCAGGGTGCAGAGGCCGGAGTGGCAGAGCACTGGGCTCAGGTGTGAGGGGCCTCCTCACTCTCGAGGGCCATGACTGGGGCATGAACAGGTGCTGGTGACAAGGTGTCATGGTGCAGCTCCAACTGCCTCCTCCCCATGTGTCCCTTCTGCTCCCAGGTGCTATCAGAAACCCTCTGACTTGCAGCCGAACCCCCTGGCTGGCTGCTTGGCCAGAAGCATGGGGCTCTCTCAGACACCCGGAGAAGGGCTGACCTGTGGGTGGAGGACAGGCTGGGCCACTGTGGGTGGGAGAGCCAGGGCCCTGGGTCCCCACGTCCCCTGTCCTGTGCGGCCCTGGGTACTCGAGTGCAGGCCTCCTCACTGACCCATGCTCTGTCTGCTCTCTCTGTGTCTCTCTGACCTCCAGGGCCTCTTTCTGCCAAGAACTGGAGCCTCTGCAGGCCCCTCCTTTTCCTGGGCCCCGGGCCTGCAGCCTCTGCGGTTCTGCTCCACTGCCCCACTGCCCTGCACTTGCCTCTCTCCTGGGCCCCTGGGTCCCTCCAGTTCTCTTGCTGCCCATTCTCTCCTTTTACAGGTTGTGTTTATTGGTTTATCTCTGGGGGTTGGTGCCCTCTCTTGTTTCCATGGAAACTGCCGTGGTCCCCAGAAAACCAGAGCAGCTTCGAGCAGCAAGGGCAGGACCCTGTGGGTCATCCCTGCCATCAGCTTAGAGACCAAGGACAGGATTTCAGGGCTCGCTTTATTAGAGACAACCTGCAGTCCTTCTGGAACAGGATCAACACCCGCACCCCCTGGAGGCTAACTCAGCTGGGTGAGACTCGGCTCTGTAGAGGTGTCCCCAGCCCAGAGGAGGACAGCTGACCGAGGGGCAGGGAAGGGGCAGCATGGTGTGCTGTGCAGAGCAAAGCCCTGGGTGTGAGAAACACCTCGACCTCTGAGATGTTGTTGGCCATTTGGGTGGGCAGCCTGAGCACAAACCGTGACTCTTCTTTTCTGCCTGGTTCCTGAGCTGAGAGTACGTTCCAGGTGTTTCCAGGGATGTGTGAGGGAGGGCTGAGATCCCACCTGTGCTCTGGCTTCACCCTCCTTCCCGCCCCTCCCCATGTCACCCACCTGGAACTTCCAGGTGCCATCTGGAGCTCGGGCCAGGGAGGAGTGGGGCAGGGCCAGGGGGCAGGTCAGGGGAGGGGTGGGTGGACTAGCGGCTGAGCTGAGGAATTGATGGGTGAGTTTCCAGAAGGAAGGAGAAACTGGGAACAGAGCCCTCCTCCCCGGAGGGGTGCTGGCACTCACTCACTGAGGACTCTGGGTGCCAGGCCAGCTCTAGCACTGGGGGCACAGTGGGACTGTGAGGTGGACATGCTCTTGGTCCAGGGAGGGAGATAGCTAGACAAACTGACAGTAACAGATGGGAGGAGGCCAGTGCAGCTGGCCTTGCTGGAGCAGTAAGGGTTGAGCAGGCTGGGGGGCCCTGGGTGCCAGCTGCAGTGTCCTTGCCCTGCAGCCCTGCAGGTGGGAGGTGGGGAGGTGGCTGCGAGAGGAAGGGCAGGCGGGGAGGCAGTGCAGAGCATGGATCCAGTGGATCCAGGCCATTGGTGGCAGTGGGGCCTGAGCTGGGGGTGCGGGAAGAGGGAGAGAGTGGAGAGTCAGGAGGGGTGCCATGGGAATGGCGCTGGGAGCACTGGCATAGAGGGGTTGGGAGGTCAGAGGGGGCTCTGAGAGAGGTAGGGAGGAAACCCCGATCAGGGGCACAAGAGTGGAGCGCTGGGCTCCACAGGGTCGTTTTCTCCTCAAGTGCTCAGGCCTTGGGTCCTGCTGGACTGGGTGGCCAGTGGCCAGGATTCCAGGACACAGGGGCCCTGGGGAGATGCCTGGTCGGGTAGAGGGCAGCCTGGGGAGGGGTTTGATGGGGAGGAGGGGAAGGGGAGTATCAGATGAGGGGCCATGCCAGGAATGCACTGTGGCCAAGAGGCCGAGGCCAGCAGACAAGACAGATCTCTGAGGCCCCTGTTGCAGCATCTATGCACAGAGACCTTCCAGCTGTCTCATTGATGGCAGGATCTGAGGTGGAGAAAATAAAGAGTTGTCAGAGTGGCCCAACTGTGGGGACTGTGGTGGCCTAGGAGGACAAGGGGTTTGGGGCTGTAGGCACTCACTGGCCTTAGGTTTCCCACAGAATCAGGGTGTGCACCTGCTCCAGGCCGTGGGCTGGAGCCCACTGAGGAGCTTGACTCTGTCTGGGTTCCTGACCCCTGGCCATCGAGGTGGCCCGTGGGGAATGTCACCGACTAGCTCACTCATTTCTGCATTTTCCCGCAGAAAAGGGGGAAGCAGAAGACCCCGGAAGCACCAAGGGGCAATGCTTGTCATGGGGGGACGTGGGTCACTGAGGAAAGAAATTCAGTGGAGTGCTCCCTGTTGAAGTTCAGGAAACTACGTCTTAAAAGATGTCCCTCCAGGACGTGGGGGATGAACGTGGTGCGCGGAAGCCATGGGCTTCTCATGCAGCTTCGCTGTGCGATGCGGGAGCCACAGGCCCCAGGCTGGTATGGTGAGAGGCACTGGGCATGTGGGCACCCGCCATGTGCCTGGGTGCAGAGGGCTGGGTGCAGAGGGAACATCACACCTCACGCGTGATTCTTATACTGATCCCATGTTGAAGTGATAATATGTTGGATATTTGGGGTTAATTAAAACAGATTATTTAAATTAATTTCCTGTTTCTTGTTACTTTTTGATGTGGCTACTAAAAAATTTAAAATTACGCATGAGCCCTCCTGTGCTGCTGGCGGCCAGGGCCAGACTGCGTACGCTCCCCAGGGCAGGAGTTAACAGGCCGAGCTTCCCTTCCCCAAAATTGACCTCCAGAACTTTCCCCATGGCTCCTGGCATGGCCTCTGTCCTAGGAGGGCCTCCTGCACTCAGCCAAGGACTCCTCTTGGAGGTGCTGTCTGTCCAAGAGACAGGCCAGGCTCAGCCTCAGGACTCAGGGCTGCCATAGGGTCCCCACTGAAAGGACCGTGACAGAAATGTACTTGACGTAAATGTTGCTCATGAGAACACAAACACAGCAGGTGCGCGGTGACTGTGCAGCTTGCCCTGGTTCCTGATGACAGTGTCCCTTGTCTGCTCAGAGAGAAACAAAGGCAGCAGTGCTCTCGGTGGAGGCCAGGCAGTGGCAGAATGCGGCAGCCGGGAAGGATCCGGCCAGAGGATGTCCTGCCAGCCCATTGCTGCCAGGCTGCTGGTGGCGGGGATGGGGAAGAGCCCCCCTGGGAGGGGCCCCTGAGAGGGGCAGAGATGCCTCCCACCGCCCTGCTGTGGGCTCCCCAGCCCCTCGCAGGGGCTCTGTGTGCCTTCCTCCAGTTGGTAACAAAGCTTTGTGAAAACCTGAGGGTCCGTTCATGATGTTCTCTATCGCCTTCTGAAGATGTTAAGGCACAAAGATTTAGAATTCGTTCCGTGTGCTGGTCCTGGTTATGATACAGCTGAACTAACCAAGTGACTGAGACCAGTGACCTCACCCTCCGCGACCTCAGGTTCGGGTCTGAGACAAAATACCCATGTTACTGGGTCTTTTATAAACACGTCAGCACGTTTTGCTTAAAGTGAAACTTATAATGCTTTTACTGAGACTGCAGACAGTGAGGACAAGGATGAATTGCGTTGTCACCTACAGCTTCTAACCTGTGGGTCGTAGATGCTGTGGAGAATCCAATAAAACTCTTTTCCCCCCCAAAAGGTCCTGACCTTACATATTTGACTGACAGTTTCAGGGATTTTTGTGGATACCCCTCCTTCCACAGACCTCAGGTTTTAAAGTTCTAGTTCTAAGCTTTTATGCTTTAGTCCACGTGTCCCATCAATGGAGGAGCCTGAAAAATGCAAATTCAATTGAAAAGTGTAACTCAGTTTTCCTAGAATTTAGTAAATCTTTGTTCTTTGAAACCTTGCATTGGAAACATTATTTTGCCCCGGGTCGTGTCACGTGGCAGTGGCTCCTCACAGAAGCGGGTGGCGGTGTGCCCACTCCAGCTGCGCAGCCCTGTGCAGCCCGGACCAGCCTTCCATGTGGCCCATCCAGCTCTGGGGTCCCACCCGCTCCTTTGCACAGACGAGTGTGTCCCAGCCGAGCACCATGACAGACAGAGGTTGAACACAGCCACTTTAATAGGGAAGCATGTCCTGTAATGCTACAGTGGGGGGAGGACACAGGGAGGGCTGCCAGCTGCGCTCCCACTCAGCGTTCTTCCCCTGCTTTGGCCTCAGCTTCCATGGAGTCCATACCCACCTCTTTGTAGTCTTTCTCCAGAGCTGCCAGGTCCTCCCGGGCCTCAGAGAGCTCTCCTTCCTCCATGCCTTCCCCACGTCCCAGTGCACAAAGGCTCACTGTGCATACATGAGACTGAACTTAGGGTCCAGGTGGGCCCAGGCCTTGGTGATGGTGGCGGAGTTGCTCCACATGCACATGGCCTGCTGCACCGTGGCCAGGTCTCCCCTGGGATGACGGTGAGGGGCTGGTAGTTGATGCCCACCTGCCAGAGAAGGGGAAGAAAGTGCTCTGTGAAGCTTCTGTCAAACCCAGAAATGGTGGTGGCATCACGGGAACAGAAGACATAGGTCCCCTCTGGCAACCCAGGAGAAGACTCGGTTCACCCTGCAGTCCCTGAGCCTTCTTGGTACCAGGCAAGGAGCCAGGAGAGCAGGGTGCTGGTCCCCAGACAAGGAAAACAGGGATAGAGGAGCCCCGGAGTCAGCCACCCTGACTGGGTCCCAAGCTGCCTGAAGGGCTGTGTCCCAGCAACTGAGACATGTGACAGGAGCCCAGGTGACAGGACTGTCTTCTTTCTGAAAAGTACACTGCCCCGGATTCTTCATACGCTATTATCTCCACAGGCGTCAACAGGATGGCGATTATTTTCTGTGGCTGAAACCTCTTCCACCCCGACAGACTTAGAGCACACAACTGTGGCTATATCACGAGGGAAGATTGTTTCCCACCAACTGCTTTCCCACCAACGAGCCAGCCTGTGCAGAGCAGGGGCACAGGACACTGTCAGAGGTCCTAGGACTGCTGCTCCCACTGCACCAGGAGGTGGCCTATGTGTGTGCCAAGTAGGAGGAAGGAGGTGACATTCCAGAGCTGGGACAAAGGGGAGGCATTCCAAGTTTCAGACCAAGGGATAATGTGACCAGAGGTTTTGGCAGCAGCACACGGGGTCAGCTGGGGCCCGGGTCAGCAAACACTGTCTGGAGAGGGCGAGACACTACATGGTCTAGGCTGGGTGGGCCCCGCGGTCTCTGTTGCAGCCCCTCAGTTCTGTCTTTGCAGCAAAAGCAGCCACAGCAATCCTCCCATGAGCAGCTGTGCTGTGTCCACAGAAAACGCATTTACAGAACCAGGTGTCTGGGCCACCCACCACGCTGACCCTGAACCAGAGGAGGCCCAGAGGAGGAAGGCCCAGTGCAGAACCCCTGCAGGGGGCCCAGCAGAAGCAGGGAGGGTCTGAGCAGGCAGAGGAGGCATGAAAAGGCTCAGGGAGGCACAGTCCTGAGGGAGAGGATCCCCAGGGTTCGGTGACCGAGGGTGGACAAAGCTGGAAAGCGACAGCAGGGTTTCCATCCCATGTCCAACGGAAGGGGGAAACTGTGGTCTGAGGCAAACTCGGGCCAGAATTTCTAGGCTTCCCAAGACAGAAATAAAGATGTTGCCATTTTCCTCACAGAAAGATCCATGATAATTTTTCTTTAAATCCAAGACTGCAGAGAACATTTAAGTTGGATGTAGTTTCTACACAGTTATGGAATGAAGTAAGATTTAGGGACAGTAGTCGGTTCATAGTAATTCCCCCATTTCAGATATCTGCATGAATTACCAAAATGCCAGGAAAATGCCTCCATTTCTCAGTCCAACCTACATTTCCCACACTGATTCTACCACCCAAAAAGGGAACAAAAGTCCTCTAAAATTTTTCTATTCTGTTAACTAAGAATACTCTCCCCACAGATCTCTAGTGTGACGACTCAGGAGGGAAGTTAAAGATGCCCCTGAATAGACGATCACGCTGGGTCCCTAAGTAACGGCCAAGAGCCGAGCTGCAAGGAACAGGGGATTCTCTGAAAGGGGACGCATTCCATGGCAGGGTCTGCTGCTTGCTAACGGGTCGGCCCACTCCCCATCACCCACTCCTACCTTAGCTCCAATTGGGCCTCAATCTACAAACTGGATGGTGCGCTTGGTCTTAATGGTGGTGATGGCCATGTTGACGCCTTTTGGGACCACGTCCCCCCCTGTAAAACATGCGGCAGGTCATATGTACTTGCCATGGTGAGTGTCACACTTGACCCTCTGGTTGGCTGGCTTGAAGCAGGCATTGGTGATCTTGGCCACGGACAGCTGCTCATAGTAGACCCTCTCAGCTGAGATGACCGGGGTGCAGGTGGCCAGGGGAAGTGATGAGGGGGTACAGGAGCAGCTTGGTCTGGAATTCTGTCAAGTCCCTGTTCAGGGCCCTGTCAAATTACAAGGAAGCTGTGATGGAGGACCCGATCTGCCTGATCAGATGACTGAGGCTGGTGTACAGCAGCAGCTTGATATCCAGGTTGTGATGACATACGTTGTAGATGACCTCGTTGTCCACCATGAAGGCACAATCAACATCTTCCAGGGTCGTGCAGGTGGCCAGCATGGAGTTGGAGGGCTCCACCACGGCCATGGAAACCCAGGGGGCTGGGTAAATGGCAAGTCTGAGCTTGGACCTCTTGCCATAGTCCACCGAGAGGTGCTGTGTGAGCAGAGATGCAAACCCAGAGCCGGGACTGCCCACGGAGCTGTGGAAGATGAGGAAGCCCTGCAGCCCCGCACTTTACCCACCTAGAGAAAGCAGAGAACAGGGCCAACGTGGGCAGAAGACACAGCGCAACCTCCAACCAGCCCCGGTCACTTCTCTTCCTCTGCAAGATCACGAGATTCACACCCTCCACAGTGAACATGCATGGCACTTAGAGGCAAAGCAGACAGACGGTAAAGATGTATGCATGCACCACAGCCACACTGGAGGGTAAGACTGTAGACTCGTGATTAAGACCTCCATTTTGCCAAAATATCCTCCTCGTCACCATCTAAGGCCTACACTCCTGTCCAGGACAGCGTCCAGAGGAGGCCTTCTTGGCACTCTCACCAGTTTGTAGACCCAGTCCAGGACCAGGTCGATGATCTCCTTGCTGATGGGGCAATGGCCTCAGGGGTAATTATTGGCTGTGTCTTCCTTCCCAGTGATCAGCTGCTCCGGGTGGAAGAGCTGCCTGTGGGTCCCTGTGCACACTTCATGTACAAAGAGGACACAGGTGTCGTGAGTCTTTAAGGCCTGTTGTTAACTCACCAGGGTGAACAGATCGGGACCGTCCCCTTCTACCAAGCACATGTTGTTCCTTGTAGGTCAGCAGCATCGGTGTCTCACAGGAAACGTCTCTGTGTAATACACAGACCACAACTGCACCTGATGGCTCTAGGAGAGAGGAGTCAACTCGCAGGACAAATGCCAGTGTGACCGGTTCCCCAAGAAGGGAGGAGAGCTCTCACACCCGCACACAGGCAACTCTACACATGCGTGTTTCTTCCATCCCCGTAGCTACAGCCAAGGGTGGAATTTAAAGATCCCTTACAGGCTAGACAGTCCCCAGCATGACTGTTGCTGGGCAGTCCCATCAGCCACCCTATGTGGCCTGGGTCTCACAGGCTTCAGGGTGACATTTTGTCATCCCCTGGTGGCCACCGAATGGTGCTTTCTTTACAGCTCTCCTTGGAAACTACCTCAGACTTCTAATCTGGAGGAACCCAACGAATATTCTATACTGAGCTTTCTATGTCTAAGATTCAGGTCAAGACTCATGCCCCAGCCTGAGGGAGCGCACAGCACTAAGGAGGGACCGGTGCCCAGGTGCCCTACAGACAGAGTCTACACAACCACCTGACCGGGCCAAGGAGGCCACAAGTGACTCCACCCCCAGCCCATCTCAGTGCTGGCCAACCTCACAGCAGGTTTTTCTCAATTAGGTGCCTGAGTCCCACGGACATTTCAGGCACTAACCTTCCAGTGTGTCACCTAACGTGACCATGGGCATACACTTGTACATCCGTCCCTTCTGCAGGGGGATCCAATGGAAAACATGGGGGGCTTTAGCAAGGCTCTCCCACACTCCCATGACAGCCACCTCGAGTGTCCATGTACCTACCGACACGGTGGGGTCCAGGTCCACAAACACTGCTCTGGGCACACGCTTGCCAGCCCCAGTCTCGCTGGAGAACGTGTTGAATGAGTCATCCCCACTGCTGATGGTTTTGTCACTTGGCATCTGACCATCAGATGAATTCCAAGATCAAGGCAGTACCATTCCCAGCAGGCATCTCCGATCTGGACCCCTGCCTGCCCCACGTGGATAGAGATGCACTCACACTTTGAACCAGAACATAAATGTGAGACCCTCGTCTTCAAGGCAGTCGTCCCTCTATGGCATGCAGAACATACATATGTGCTTCAGAATGTCTACGGTTTTCTCAAACCTTATTTCCCACAAGGCTTATGTGACCATTTTATGTTAAACTGACATGCTCTAACCCACCCGGCTACTAAGCACCAGAGTCAGCCCAGAACCTAAGTGTTTGCCACTATAGGAAAGTTAGGTTATTTTGTAACTTGGAAGCCATGTCATGTCAACTAAACTTCACATTATGGCTAGTCACATAATTCTCTGAAGACTACAGCAGTTTTGATTGTGTCCTGACCAGGGAACAAGGTAAACGGTGATGGAGTCGGGGAAGGAAAGTGGACTAGGACACAGTTCACTGTGGCCCAGGTGCCGGCGGCTCCTGTGTGTGTGTCTCCCAGCTCCCTCTAGGTTTCCCCTCGGTGCTTCTCCATCCAGTCTGGGCCCCGGGGGCTGCCCCAAGTGGACTGCCTCAAAGGGCTTCCTTGCCCTCCGACGTCCGGGTGCTTTAGCCAGGGCCAGAGAAAGTGCGGGCAGGGTGCCCCCTCCTGGGCTGCCTCCCTGCCCGCCTGCCATGGGTTGCTGGGGACCGCTTATCAAGGAGCAACTTTCAGCAGGCAGCGCTCCTCCTAAAGCAACCCTGTCCACTTCCAGTGACCACTCTCTCCCCTCACCCCTTCACGCCTAGGAGGCGATGTCTCCCAGACGTCTCAAATGCTGGGATACTGCGCTGCCCTTTGGTGGTTTCCTGAAATTCTGCCCATTCCTTTGTAAATGGTACCTTTTAAAGGTTCTCCTCAATGTACCTATTCTGAATGTACCATCTCGTTCCCGCCGGGAACCTAAGTGTACAGACACGAACCACTTGTTCACTTGTAGACACAGCATCCTTACAAATACAGAGAGGAAATCAAATGAAACTGGAGGTGTGCTGCCCACCCTAAATTCTAATGCACAGTCCCCAGAACTTGAAGTCCTGTGGTCTGTTATACAAGCAGCAAATCTCAGAGTCATCAGGGCATCAAAGATGGACACAATGCAGCAATCCCCCCACAGCATCCCAGAAGGAAGCATTCAGTTCCAGAAAGAACTTCTCCAATGACAAGGAGCTCACTCCTCCAGAGGAAAGGTTCATCAACACCCTGGGAAGAGCTTTGGGATCCAGCCAACCACACATTTTCAAATGCATATTATTCGTTTTGCCTTACTTAAATCCAGACACCCTGTAGTTCACAGAATGTGTTTCCCAGGAGGCCTGATGTGGCCTTCGACTCTGTCACCCCCGTAGGATCAGCATCAGCTCTGTGACCTGGGAAATCCCCCAATTTCTGCATTTACAAAATGGGGGCCTGGGAGCCAGGTGGTCTGCAAGGCCACTGCCATCTCATGATCTAACCAGGATGCTAACCAGAGATATCGGGAAAATCATTCCTAGCTTTCAACAGAAAGCCTTAATTATAAATTCACCGCCAGCCTCACCTGGATCATTCACATTTACATTTCTTTAGTCAGCTGTATCTGCTCTCTGAAAAAATTACTTGAAACTTCTCTGTTCAACTCCAGACCAACTCCTCTCTTCACATTCTTGGAAGATGACCTTGCTCCCTTCCTACCCGGAAGATTCACCTTCCTGCCCCCAAACCTGCAAGCAGACCCTCGCTCTCCTCCTTCCTTCCTTTACAGTGAAGCTGAGCTCCCTCCTGGGAACGACCCCCTGTTTCTCCTGAGCCCCTACCCAGCCCCGGTCCTCAGAGTGACCACAGTGGAGTCCCCAGGCACTGGGGGTCCACAGACCTCTCCAGGGCGCGTGGAGGGACAAGCGTTTCATAGCAGGACTGGGCGGTTCCTAGTCCCTTCACCGCGCTGACGTTCGCACTGACGGTGCACAATCAAAGGTGGACACGACTGCTGGCGCCTGAGCCCAGATCACAGTAGTGGCACCAGACTGTACCTGTGGTCACCCGACTCCTCATCCTCAGCGCTCAGAGTGAACAAAAGAAAGAAAAGGCCAGTTTCACTTACGCATGTCCTTGATGAGGCAGGAAAGATGGTCAGCGTGTTCCGTCCCTCCCTGGAGACAGAGCCGGACAGACGGAGGCGCAGACGGAGCCCCGTGCACAGCTGGAAGCCGCTGTCGGGAAGCGCGGGGCGGGTGTGGAGTCGCCGCTGGACCCGCTGCTTTTCCGTGGGACGCGCGTTCACTTGAAGGAACCGCCGGCGGAGGATTCAGACTCCACGCGCTATTTATGTTCACGTGTCGCTCGAAAGTGCGCGTCTGTGAAGCGTCTCAGTCTGAATTTCTACGTGACCAATCCCCTTAGACGTGACCCCACACAGCTCCCGGAGCTTCGAGAACGTTCCGTCGCGGACCGGGCCTCCCGCGCTCTCCGGCCCCGCTCCCCGCCTACGCCCTGCGGCCCCGGCCCGACACTCCCAGGCCTGTCCCCTCCGCCCCACGAAGCGGCTCCGTCCCCTCCCGCCTGGGCGTCCCCAGGGAACAGGGCCCTGGGTCGCCATCGCACCAGCCCCACAAGGCGAGCTCCCCGCCGCTGCTGCTCCTCGACCTCACCCGGCGGGCGCGCTGGGAGATATGCGCCTGCTGCCCCGCGGCCATTGGTCCAGAGCGCGGAATCCCGCTTTCCATTGGCTGTTGCTCGACCCGCGGAGTGTGGCGCTTTCTGATTGGATGCGGGTTTGGCGGGATGGCTGGGGGTCGCGCAAGGTGAGGGGGGCCTTGGGCGTTCCGTGCGTTCTGGAAGCTTTGGTTGGAGCGGCCGCAGCGCCCCCTGGGTGGCGCACAGGACGTTACCGAGCACCTAAGCCCCGACCTTGTGCTGCTCTTTCCTGGTGCAGGAGAGCCTTTCCCACCCAGCGCCCGGAACCGGCGCGATCTGATTGCTTTTTGAAGGAGGGCTGGGATTCCAGGGACGGGGAGAGGGTGCCCCGCAACCGTGCCACCCCCAAGAGCTGGGTGTCCCTGTTGGAGGACTTTGGAACAATCCCCAATGCCTCCGTTCCGTCGAGATGGACTGAAGTTGCCTCAGGATCCAGTGTGTGGATCCTTCCGGAAAAAGCGGGGGAGGGGATCCAGGCGGAGCCCGCTCAGCGCCTGAGCGCAGCGCGCGGTGCTGCGACTCCGCAGTGGGTGTTCGCGCGGACCCTTAACTTCTCCTCCGCCCTAAGGACAGTGGGGACCGACCCCTGCACGGGGACACAGCAGGCGGGCCTTGGGGAGCCTCTGGACGGTGCCGCCAGGTCTGCCGTAGATAGACGGCTTTGGCGGCGGGAAGCAGGGGACGGAGGAGGTCAGCAGAGAGCCGGGGACAGGGGAGAAACCCTCCCTGCCCATGTGCAGGGAGAGTGGGTCCTTCCTCTCAGTCAGCTTGGCTGCCATGATGAAATGACACGGACCCGGTGGCCTAAACACCAGAAGTTTATTTTCTCTGTGGACAAAATGGAGTCACATCTGTCAAGGCTGCTAATGTGGAGTTGGGAGGCCATTAAGGAAACGGGGCTCATGCAGGCACGCCACTCTCTACCAGAGGGAATGTCACTTTTTTTTTTTTTTTGGTGAGATAGATTGGCCCTGAGCTAACATCTGTTGCCGATCTTCCTCTATTTTGTTTGTGGGCACCGCCACAGTGTGCCTTGATGAGCCGTGTGTGGGTTCATGTCCAAGATCCGGTGTGGTGAACCTGGGCAGCAAAGCAGAGTGCATGAACTTAACCACTATACCACCTGACCAGCCCCAGGAATATAACTTTTGCACTGTGTTTCACTGTTGTCATCTTGACCTTGTTCCTAGAAATGTGCTGACTCCTATAGATAAGAACTTTCTGCCTTAGAAATGGCCTTGGCAACTGATCACGTATGGCCAGGAAGTAACAGTTGTTGCCAGCTCCAATCACAGATTTTCAAAACGACCTGTGTAATTTTTCTCTTTTTGCCTTTACAAACCCTTGCCTCCTTTGTCTTCCTTGGAACACATTTTGGGTTTCTGCCTGAATCTGTGTCTCCCAAATTGTAATTCTAATTGCCCAAATAAATATCTGCTATTTGAATGTAGTGAATTTTTCCTCAGTTGATATTTCTTGGTGTAGTCGGCAGATCCAGAGCAACTGAGCGCGGACCCTGGTGCTGGCATGGACACTTGGAAGGCACCTCCAAGACAGGCTTGTTCTCTCGTGTTTCTGTTGGTGAGCCTCAGAGCTCCAGCAGTAAGTTCTCCGGGATCCGAAGCTCCTATTTTCGGTTGATGTTCAGAGCAGATTTTATTTGGGAGGACTAACTGGTTCTGTCCTTTGGAGGGAGGATTCCGTCCTCACCTTAACTAGGCGGAGAATTCAGGTGTAAGGACATTTCTTGGTGAGTGTTATTGGAGGTCTAGTAGGTTTTCATTTATTCAAGCGGCCACATTCTCTTACAATTCAAAATTCAGCTGTTCTTCATAACCAACGCAGACCTCGTAGTTTCTCCTCTTGTCCAAATGGGGGTCCTTCTACTCCGAAGGTAAGACACATTGCTCCTTCTGACCCTTTTTGGGTTGTTTCTCAGTAACTGGAAATCCAGCAGAAGTGTTGGGACTCTGTCCATGATGTGCAGTGATCTCACAGGGCCTTGCAATGAAGAACACACCCTGTTTCGGGTCAGAGGAACTTGATAAGCTTATCCTGAAGGCACAGATGAAGGATTGGTCATCCTAGGACCTTGAGCAACCTGCCACCACTTGCTGCTCAGGAATCTCTGAGACACGTAAAAGAGAGACCAACAGCCCATTGGTGACACCCTGGGAAGTGGTCCTCACAGGCAGCACACACCTGACCCATGACATAGACCCTCCTGCCTTGGTCATCTGAGAATAGCCCTCTCTAAATTATGGGGAACAATTGTTCTAGAACAGCCATAAATAGTCAACTTCCTTTGGGAACCCCAGCTGGATTTATGTTTAAAGAATATGGTCCCTCTTCTTGTAAATTTTTACCTCAATGGACCCATTTTGCCCAAGGATGATTTAAAACTTTCTTTGCCCTAATGAGGCTCATTTGAAATACTTGAATTAGTTCATTTGCATGCACGGTTAGAAAATAAGAGATCTAAAACTAAGCAAGTGGAAATGGGTGAACTTCTGGGATAATTTGGAATGGTAATGGCTGCTCTGGGGAAGCTTTGTTTCAGATCCGTCCACCTTAAGGGTCCCCCTTAAAAGAGAGGATTCCAACCCCTCAGAGAGAATGGAATGTGCACTTCAGTTGCTATGCAGGAGCTTCCAAAAGACAAAAGGACTTCAACACAGCTCTCAAAAGTATCCTCACAACATGCAAAAAAAGGAGAAATCTTTAGTAAAAACCTTTGGCTACGTGGGCAGGTAACCTTAATTTAGTCCCTCTGCCAGAAACACAATTTGGATCCAAGTCTTCTTTTCAGTTTTGTATCTGAGACGTGGCTAACATCTTTAAAGATCTCTGTGTGTCTATGTGTGTGTCTATGTATGTCTGTCTGTCTCTCTCTATATATGAGAGTTTTCTACCTCTGGATGGTATTGCCAAAATTAAACATTTATATAAATTAAGCATTCCTAAAACTCTCAGAAATATAGAAACTAACCCAAATGTTTTTCAAGTTCAAGTGGTCTGAGATAATCCATGATGAAAAATTGTTCAAGTTTGTTGGTTTCGTAGAAACAGACATGTCCTCAGAGTCATCAGTATTGAATGTAAAGCAAATGTACAACTTTTCTCCCTGGGTCCACTCGGCTGAGTGGACTCTTGTTGTTTCTGCTGCAGAATTTGTCTCCAGGAGGAATGACTTGGGGTGATGGTTAACTATTTACTGCCTAATCCAAACATATATTAAAAACAAGCATTAAAAGAAATGTAAATAAGAGAAAAGTTTATAGTAAGTTAAATGAAATAGATATTCATTGAGTGTCTAAACCATTTCGGGTAGGACGGTATGCTGAGACTGATTGCCAAACATAAGTTTGTCTAGTTTTGGCTTTCTAACTTTTCTTTAGAGACACAATTGCCTCTCTGTCTATTTGGGTTATCAATAGACATGTTTTGTGCCACATTGAAAAGTTTGCTGTAATGAGACATATGCTCCTGGAAATTATGAAACGTGTCTGTGGGTTTGCTAATCTACTACTGATGCTACTATGTGATAGACAGGTCACAGTTGCCTGCCTCCTAGTTTTTGATGGAAAGCAAAAATTATAAATAGTTTTAAAACAATTTGGAGGAAGAGCTGGGAATACAAATGAACCAGAGAAAAGGCCAGAAAACTTAGAGTAATGAGTGTAAATTAACTCTCTGTACACTGTGCGCGTTGATGCTGAGAGAATGCGGGCAGAGCAGCGGGTGCCCCTTAGTCGGATGAGAAGCAGTGGAACTTTCTCCTACTGTGCAAGGATTCACTGTCACTTCTCATCTTTCAAACTGTGGTCACAGACCATTGGTAAATTAACATTTACTTAAAAAATTTGCATGATGTCTACATTTACCAAAATAGATAAATGGATAACGTTTATCTTCAATTTTTATGTATTATACATATTTTATGTGTTATATATATTTCAATATCAATAATACATAGACCAATGTATTTATTCTATATAAATAAAAGAAAATAGTTTCATAAAATGAAAAATAGAATACATGTATGGCATATACCGAAAATAGGAAATACATGTCAGTTATTAAATTATTTCAGTTACATATATGGCTTTATTTATGTAAGTGTGTGCTGGACCATGATATACACTGTCCTTCTTGCTATGGGATGCTCTGAAAGCCACTGCTCTTAAACCACAGTAAACTGAGCAACAGAAGGGTCCATGTGCCAGATGGAGAGGCCCACACGAGATCACCCACCCTTTCTGTCCTGCACACGCACAGCGATGACTCCTCAATGACAGGCTGGAATCTCTCTCTGACAGCCTCCCACCTTGTTGCCTTGTCTTTTTAGATTGACAGCCAGGCAGCATCTGTATTTAAAAGAACTTCCCCCATTTCTTAGAACTGCATGTGAGACTGAGAATTCGGGTGGTGGCTTCCGAGATATTTATAGCTCTGCCATCAGCTTAGAAGTTGTTCCATCTTTCAAATCTTTCTTCTGCCTGCTCAACCTAGAGCAACCCTTTTCAGCAGGAATGTCGGGATCTTGTGGCCTCTGCCTTTTCTGTCATTCCCAGTCTAGCAGAGCAATGTCAGCATGAACCTGTGGCCACGAGTGAGTCTCACCCTGTAATTTCCAGGAAGGGTATGGTTTATATCATGTGGAAGGAGTTTATACTCACTTAATGTGGTGCGTAGGCAATTATGCTATCCTCTAAGAGTAAGATCTGTAATTTTTCTCTAACAACTGCCTTGCATCATTTTTTTTAAGATAAACTTTGTAAGTTTTTGAAATTAAGAAAATTACTATATATGAAGAGTAGACAAGGAAAGTAGGGTATGTGTTTTCAGTAAGAGAAGGTATGAAGAATGAAGATGCATTTTTGTTAAAGGAAAATTAGAAAGTGATTTTTTCCTAAAATAAATGATTGTTCAAAAATAAGAAAGAAAAAGAACAAAACCTGCATAGACATAGAAAGCTGCAGAAGGTTTATGAAAAAGGAATCTTTAAGAAGAAATTGTGTTGTGTGGTCAAGCTGGGTAAGATTAAAAAGAATTTATTTAAAAATGAATTTTTATATCAAAAGTACACTGGTACAAAATTAAAATTTGGTTTTTCTCTTTATTAAGGGACAAAGTCTTCTCAGATTATTGGTCTGCTCTTAATAAGAAATTGTAAACAACGTTTCTTTATCTTTAATGTAATCTGCCTAGGTAACAGAAATTCTGTGTTTTATCTTTATCAAGTCTTTCATTACATAGAAAAGCTGGGATTGGCTCAGAACTATGTAACTTTCTCTGTTGCCCTTTAAAATCTCTTTGTCACTTTGGTTAAATAGATAATGAAGTATTGTTTCATAAAAATCTGTGATTTTTTTGATCAAATGTTTTAAAATGTTTTTGATATTTTTCGACAAAGTTCCCCCAAATCAAATTCTAAATAAAGTCTTTTTTTGACCTGAGAGATAGTAAACTAATTAGACTTATTTGACATGTTAAATTACATGGGAAGCATTGTCAAAAAAGGAATAACAGCCTTTTTTATGTTATGTCTTTATAAGTACAAGTTATAAGTGTTCCAGAAATTATGTGAAATTCCTGGAAGTCTACTGTGTCCTGGAATAAAATGCTGTCTGTCATGAAAATTGAGGCTCACAGTAAATATCAGGAAAGCACCGTAGCTGACTTTCCTGCAAAGGCAGCAACAACAGAGTCTATAAAGGTTGTGACACATGTGGATGAAGTCCATTCTCCTTCTTTTGCAAAAAAAAAATTGGCCTCTCACTGCCAGACTTTTGCCATCCTGATGTCCTTGTAACACAGCAACAGTCTGCTCCTGACTCAGGGAAATTAAGGAGGGTGAACAATGGCTGTAAATTCAACAAACAGTCAGGACAATGGAAAACCCAAGACGGCTGCTGGCTCTTGCCAGCTCTCTGGAAAAACCCACTTTTCAGTGTTTACGTTCCTTAACCAACATTAGGAAAAACTATTCTGTCCCAGAGGCCTCAGAACTTCTTCCTCGGGGTCCTTTGAGCACCTGCAGCTGGACTTCACTGAGCTGCCACTTCCTGTGGCTCATCAATATGTTCTTGTTGCTGTCTGTGGTTTCAGGATGGGTTAAAGCCTTTCCCTTGCCACAAAGCTGATGCCCTCACAATGCAGACCAAACTGCTAGAACACATGCTTCCCACTTGGGAGGGACCTTCCACAATCCCCAGTGATCGCGGGCACCTGCTTCACTGGGCAAATCATACGAACCTTGAATGCCAAACCTTTCAAACTTGGAATTTCACTGTTCTGATCATCCTCAGTCATCAGGCAAAGTCGAGAAAACTAATGGAAAAACTGGATTTAAGCAGAAGAAATAGTAAATTACCTGGGACTACATGAGCTGAGAAAGATGGTCTAATGTTTTATTTTTCCAGATTTAAAGAAATCTTTTCTCTTAAGCCATCGACAGTTTGGTAGGACATGCCTTTGTGAACAAAGATGAAACATTTATCTTTTCTCCCTGTCTGATCCCTCCAGAATTCAGAAACCCTCAGTGAGTATTCTTATTTTCACTAGTATAAATAATCAGGCCAAGTTTTAATATAAACAAGTTAGTTTTACTGTGATTATCTTTGACCAAAAAAAATTTGAGGATATTTGTAGAGAGGAAAATTCTGTTTGCATCCTTGTAAACATTAGATTCTGGTCTTGTTAATTATCTTGAGGTTCAGTATATACTGTGGACTGGACTCCCCTGGCCTAAGGTATTGCCTTCGGCCTTGCTGACTGTTGGCAGTCCCCTCTTTGGAAAACATGGAATAACTCCACATGCGACAGTCACCAGCAGATCAGTGTCTGTTGCTGTACAACCTTCTGCTGCTCCCCTGTTGTCTTATGTGAGTGTGACCAGCTGCTGTGAGTCTCCACTGTCTTATTCTCAGCCCATCATCAACAGGTTAAAGATGCTTTCCTGGATCCCAATTTAAAGGATCCTGTTGGTCACAGTCTCGAGCCTGGTGACTGGGTATTCTGGAAGCATCATCAGAGGACAGCCCTCAGCCCCATTGGAAAGGACCTTACCAAGTGCCCCTGACCACTGACATTGCCACAGAACTAGAAGACATTGTATTCTAGGTGTCCCCTTTTGGGCACACCTTCCACCTACAGGGAACCATGGGCTTTTGAATGTCTAGACAGCTGGCATACGGCAGGATAATTCCTTTAGGATATCATAATATTCCTTTTCAAGTTCTTGTTAAAGGAGAAACCCAACCATAATCTTGTATGTCTAGGTGAGACTTAGAGACCACATTTTACACCCCATCTACTCTCCATTGATTACCATTGCCAAAGGCTTTGTCCCTTGCGTTGATGTTGTCCATGGTGACAAGTTGATAAAAAGTTTATCCCTAAAACCATAGCTACACTGGCATATTCTACCACTTGAGCCTTAGTTCAACAACAACAATTCCCGATCCCCTAGTCAGGGTCATATTAGGTAATTGAATGGCATTCAGTTATCTCCTTGCAGAACAGAGTGGCATCTGTGTTGTAGCCAACACCCCCTTTTGTACCTGCATCAACTCTTCTGGTGACATTGAGTTAGAACTTGGAAAAATAATAAAAATAGCACAGGGTGTCTCCAGTTCAATGTCTTTTAATGACACCCACTTGTTCCCTGTCGATGTTTTCATCTGGCCTCTTGGTGTAGGTGCTTGGATGAGATAGGGACTTCAGATATTGTTTATGATGATTATTGGAATTGTGCTATGTGTGCTTGTATTTAAGCTTCTTATGCTACTACTGCCTCAGATCTGCTCCAAGTTATACTAATGATTATCATCCTGATTTGTATGATCTTTGTCACCTTCATGCTATGAATGACTTGCATTTCTCAATGCTGTCTGTCTGTCTCTACCTCCAGAATAATGATTGCTCAGCAATTTGAAATGATCAACCAATCTTCCAACTCCGAAGGACTTGATGCTTTTCCAGATAGAGACCGTGCCTAAGACTCATTCCTCACCACCTCCTTGTTGCTCAGATGTGGCCAGAGCCTCTGACTGTGTTACTCCTATGATGATTGAGCACGTGGCTTCCCCCAACAAGTGACATGACTTCCCAGAAAAGAACATTTCTAGCAATGAGGGCAATATCATTATATCAAACAGTTGGTCCGAGATGCTTTCTGCTGCAAGATCTTGATCAGAAGGGGAAATGTGGACAGTGAGAACAAAATGGAGTAACATATGCCAAGGATTCTAAAATGGAGCTGGGAGGCCATTAAGGAAATGGGGCTCATGCAGGCACGCCACATCTCTACCAGAGGGAAGGTAACTTTTGAGCTGTGCTTCTCTGTTGTCATCTTGACCTTCTTTCAAGAAATACCCTCACTCTCAAAGATAAGATCTTCCTGCCTTAGAGACGGCCTTAGCAAGTGATCACATATAGCCAAGAAGTAATAGTTGTTGCCAGCGCCAATCACAAATTTTGCAAAATGACCTGTGTAATTTTTCTCTTTTTGCCTTTATAAACCCTTATGTCCTTGTTTTCCTCAGAACACATTTTGGGTTTCTGCCTGGATCTGTGTCTCCTGAGTTGCAATTCTAACTGCCCAAGTAAATATCTGCTATTTGAAATGTGGATTTTTCCTCAGTTGATATCTCATACTTCTGGAGGCCAGGAGTCCCAGATCCAGGTCCAGGAAGACTGATTTCTGGTAAGGCCTCTCCTCCTGGCCCACAGAGGGCTGCCTTATTGCTGTGCTCACATGGGCGAGGGGGAGAGAGCAAGCTTTCTGGTGTTTCTTCTGATAAGGATACTCATCTTCTTGGGTCAGGGCCCACCCTCATGACTTCATTTAACCTTAATTACTTCCTGTCTCCAAATAGAGTCACATTGGGGTAGGGCTTCAAGATATGAATTTTCTGGGGATAAAATTCAGTCTGTAGCACCCTCCTTCCTCAGGGCTCCAACCACGCCATACACGTGACTGAATTGTAGCCTGTATCATGTTGTGTTGTTAAGTACTATTTATTTTTCTGATTCTAAAATAATACATACTTAATGTAGAAAGTGTGGAAAATGCAGAAAAATAGGAAGAAAATAAAATATATAAACACAATCTAGAGATAAATATTAATACACTGGGGGATTTTTGGTCTTTTTTCTGTGTATATACATTCATATACTTTTTTGACTGAATTTGGATTAAAAAATATGGGTTCTTTTTGGTAACAGCTTTAGATATAATTCACATACCATACAATTCACCCATGAGTGGATTCACCAAATGAGAGAGAGCAGAGGATGGCCCAGGTTAGTGCAGGGACCGTGGGGGCTGAGGAGGGTACAGGTGTCTGTGTCATCATGAAGGCCAGCTCCCTAGGACTACACCCCAGTTGACACGGGGACTCAGTGCACACTCAGGTGGTAACAAGGCACAGTGAGGTCCAGAACCTTCCATGTGGAAGTTGAAGTGGCCGATGGAAGATGAGGAAGCCACACTCCACAGTCATTTAGGGACAGACGCTGGTGGGGACGGGCTGAAGGCTGGCAGCAACTCTGTTCTGTCCTCTACTCTGTGGGCAGCAGTCTTTCTGCAAAGCCCTGGAAGAGTGACCTTCACTGAGCTGGCGAGGTCATCAAACTCTCTGCTCACCTGGACATCCTCAGGAGAGACTCAGGACCAGGCGGCACATTGTCAATTTCTGAGAACTTGACTTCTTTTACTAACACAGGGTGTCGAAGAAGCTCCTTAGGACAGCTTCTCTCCTCTGGATGACAATGTCATTACTCCGCAAACTATTAAAAGAGAGAAGGGCAGGGGCTCAGGGGGCTTCTGGAGACTGGTTACATATGTCTGTGCACTTTGTGAAAATTCACCAGGCTCTGCCCTTAATCCATGTGCACTTTGCAGCATAAATGTTGTTCCTCAACAGGAAATGAAAACCAGAGAGGGTGGGGAAAGAGAACCAGCACTGAGTCTATCTCTGCACAGGCCCTTTCCGTGGGTCTGTCATCTCATCCTGTCTCACAGTGACCCTGGCTGGAAGGTACTAGCCCCGTTTCACACAGATACAAGGCTGAGTCCTGGGAAGGGTTTTACATGAACCGTACATCGTGTTGAACAAGCATGTACTGTTGCAGGACAATTTCACGTATTCCATTTGTGTTAGAATGATGGAGTCCAGTGCTGAGCGGCCCTCTCAGAGCAGAGGGACGTGGTCAAGGCAAGCTCATCTCTGGCTGTGGAGCCGCAGAGACGAGGCAGGGAGAAGGGAGAAGGAAATGAGGACGTTCGATACCAGGTGTCCCGAGCCTGAGGGTTGGAGCTGTGAAGACAGGTCTCTGGAGAGGCTTTGACTCAGGTCTGGATTGAAGTGAATCAGGGTTGGAATAAGCAGTGATTTGGGACTAGACTTTCTTTTAATAATTCGTATTTGGAGATTCTCTCCTCAGTGTTTAACTGCCTTGGAAAAGAATGACATTTTTTCTACATTAAAAAGGCAAAGTTGAGTGACAGGGGTCCTGATCTCCCTCATAGCCACACAGTGACTCTTCAAGGACCAGGATCCCCCTGCAGGCAGTACTGGCAGAGGAGGGGCCGCCTTGCGAGTGCTGGACCTGCAAATCCAAACATCAGTGAACAGAGAGCATCGTGCCCCTGAGCCAGCTATTCTCTCTCAGCCAGCGAAGAACCCAGGCAGGGGTCTGAGGAGAGGCCAGAGCGGCACCCCAGTCAGAGCAGGAGTGGGGCCGGAGGGGCGTCAGGACCCACATTCAGGCCTGGGCTGGAACGCGGACTCGGCCACACCACGCATCTGGGCAGCACACTCTAGGTGTCCAATCCCCACTCTCTCCCTTAAATGACGCCTCACAGGGCTGCTGGGAGGACCGAGGTGGGGTTTAGGAAAAGCTCTCACAGCAGTTCCTGGGCAGACACTGGGTCCCCCTGCACAGACTGGAGGACACCAAAGCGGACACCTGAGAAACACATGCATGATGCTGAGAGCAGCTGAGCCCAGGGAGGCCGAGAGAGCAGCGTGAGAGGGAAGCAGGGATTCCTCATCTCTGCTGACATGGCCGAGGACGGCCCCACCGCCTCCACTCAGAAGTGTCTCCATGGGACAGAATGCCCTGGGTGAGGCTGGAGGGCCAGGAGAGAGGAAGGGGGTGGATGCTGGCTGAGGCCCACCCAATGCCTGGTTCTGTACAGGGAACAGAGACCGAGACACACAAGACACACTCCTGCCCATAAAGGGATCACCCATTGTGGGGAGGAGAGGAAAAGTAACATCACAAAAATGCAGTGTGATGCGTGCAAGGAGAGAGTGTGCATCAGATCTCCTGGGGGTAAAGGTCACATGGGGATAGAGCCCCTGAGCTGAGCCTCTCAGGTGAGGTGAGCAGAGCTGGGCATTTCAGCAAGAAGAGCAGCAGGAGCAATGCAGAGGGAGAAACTGCCCCGTGTGCACGGAGACTTCCAGGCAGCTTGGAGGGAGAGGATGGATTTCAGAGCGGGAGGGAAGAGGGGGGCTGGCAGAGCCCAGATCCTGAGGGCATGCTGTGAATGACACACTGCTAAGCCTGGATTCATCCAGAGGGGCGCTGCTGACGGGTTTAAAGTAGGAGGGACATGGGCACGTTTCTGGGGTAGAAAGATCACCTGGGAGCAGGTGGGCAGGAAGCGCCAGAGAGGAGGAGGTAGCAGGAGCACAGGCCTAGAGGAGGGGAGTGAGAAGGAGGAGCAGGCAGCCTGAGCTCTCTGCAGGAGTTGCGATGGAGGAGGGAGATGTGGGAAAGAGGGGGACAAGCGCTGGGCCCAGCTTCTGATGGGAAAGAGGCCCCCCTGCCATGAGGCAGCCCTTAGAGGGAGATGATGCCTCCAGGTCAGACTCTCAGAATCCCATGTCCCTGTGGGCCATGTCGGGGGCCGTCTAGCAGGTTGCTAGAAATGGGGATCCAGAGCTTAAGAGAGAGGCCTGGGTTCCAGCGAACGGCAGCAGAGGGGTGAGCCTCAGGCTGGGGACGGGGTGCTGCAGGGGGCGCCTCTGCCTGTTGAGGGAGCTGAGAACCAGACAGGGCTGGATGCCCTGGAGCTGGTTGTAGTGTCCTCTGAGCACATGCTGTTGGCACAGTGGTCCTACCTGAGCCCTTGCGTGCAGAGCAGGGGTTCCTTCCTCCAGGGTTTCCACTGGGGGAGGAGCGGCTGAGCAGGACTGAGCAGGAGACAGAGAAGGGAGGGTGCAATGGAGGGTGGAGCAGGTCCACAAGGACCACTGGTAAGGTCCTTTCCATGGAACTCGAGGGCTGTCCTCTGATGATGCTTCCAGAACACCCAGTCACCAGGCTCTAGACTGTGACCAACAGGATCCTTTAAATTGGGATCCAGGAAAGTGTCTTTAACCTGTTGGTGGTGGGCTGGGGATAAGACAGTGGAGACTCACAGCAGCTGGTCACACTCACATAAGACAACAGGGGAGCAGCAGAAGGTTGTGGACCAACAGACACTGATCTGCTGGTGACTGTCCCAGGTGGAGTTAGGCACTTGAAAGATGCTGATAACATTGAATGCTAGGATAAGGGCCTTGGGCAGCACCCTATCAGTGGTGAGGAGACAGAGAGGGCTTTAAGAAATGACAAGACTGGACTCCTTAGCGGTGGGAGTAGAGGATGGAGTAGGATGGGCAGGAACAGAAACAAGAGGCCAGGGGACTGTTGGGAGGCTTTTGCTCTAGCCTATAGTCAAGAAGTGACAAGGCCAGTGCAGCTGTGGTGGAGAGGAGGCAGGGGTGGTAGAGAAAGGAAAGTGGGGGCCATGTGGGGTTAAGAAACCCTGGGAGATATCCAGCATGTAAAATGGGCAGAAGCCCCACCCACCCACCCACACTGCTCCCCACTCTGTCAGCACTCAACCAGTCTGCCCTGCATCCAGTTCTCAAAAGTGCCGGAAACAACATGCCCCCAGGTTGTTTCCGTGTGTGGAACTGTTGACCCCTTTCTTCACCTGGCTAACAGCTCATCATGCTTCTCACCTGGGGTCACAGTGTCAGGAAGCCTTGCCCGCCTGGCTGGTCTGGGCAGCGTCGGGTCCCATGCCCACTGTGCTTCCCTCTTCCCAGTCTCTGGCCATCAGACCTCTCTGCCTGGCCAGTCTCTCCCATCAGCCCAGGGGCCCTCAGGGACCTGAATTTCACCCCCTCCATTCCATGGTTCCCGCACCCAGCACAGGTCTGGGAAGGCTGGTCTGAAGAAACGCACAGAGGAAAAGAGATGCGCTGACTGGGCAGAGCGCTCAGCCAGCCCGCGGGGCCTGACGCGCCTGGGCGGGCACTTTCAGCACCGCGGAGAGCTCCCTGCAGGAGGCGCGGCCCCTGCGTGGCCTCCCTGAGAACAGCGCGCAGACTCCAGGCACACCGCCGGGTCTGAGCCCCAGGCTCCCAGATGCGCTGACTTCCCCTTCCTCAGACCCTTCCAGGCTGGGAGGAGAGGACAGTGGTCTCCCACTGTGTAGGGAAGCCCCTTCCTTGCTGAGCAGCTGGAGGGTGAGAAGATTCTTCTACAGGCAGTAGTCGGCCTTCTGTGGTTCCCAGGCTTGGTCTTGGTGACCCCTGCAGCCACCTTATGTGGCAGGTGCCACAATCGCGATGGAGTCAGGTGGGGAGACTGGACACAAGCTCTTTTACCTCCAGGAGTCGGGCCCACCCACAGAGCCCCACCTGGGGAAACAAAATGGCCCTGCGGAGTCTGTCCTTCTCCAGCCTGAAGACTGCCCCTCCCGTATTTGTGCAGGCTTCACAGGCCTCAGCCTCCAGCCCCTCCCTCCTGGCCGCCTCTCTGGTGCCTGCCCTCTGACCACGCAGCACAGAGGGACACCTGGACTTGGTTTGTGGAAAGTCTGAAATGAGCTTCTCTCGTAATTTCACTGACTTCCCACGGCAACTTTCTTAGAAGGTAAACTGGCTCTCTGGCAGTCAAATCCTAGGGCTGATTCCCACAGGCCAAAGCTGGTGCCACCCTACACGCTCTAAGCATTTTGAGACAGAGCAGAGACTCCCAGACTTTCTCAATCAGACAAATCTCCTGGGATACCTGCTAAAATGCGGGTGCATGGGCATCCCCCCAAGTCTATACTCCTAACCCATGGTCCCAGGTGATTTTTATATTTGACTGGAGTTGTTGAGGACAGGCAGGTAGACAGTATGTACCTTGCAAAGCAGACAGCCCATGCAAAGGCCCTGGGGCATGAAACTGGTGAAATCAAGGAATCCTACTGATGTCTTCCACAGACTCAGAATAAAATCTTCATTCCTTTTGCCATGATTTGTGGCCCTTCAGCCCCCTGTGGCCTCTCCACCCCACAGCCTGGCCACTCTCCCCTGGCCCGATAGCCCAGTCACACTGGTGTCCGTCAGTCTAAGAAACAGGCCTGTGTGTTCACTGTTCCTCTGCTTGAAATGCACTCCCTCTGGCCCTCCTATGGCTGATTCCTCCCCAACCTGCACATTTCAGCTTCAATGTCACCTCCTCACAGAGGCCACCCTGGCCACCCCTCTAAGCAGGGATCCCCATTCTTCTCTGGAATCACATCCTGTTTGTCCCTTGTAGCACCAATAATTATGGAGAATGACCTTGTTAGTGTGTGTTCCCTGAGGCCAGGGCCTCTGTTTTGTTCATGCTGGGTGCCTAGTGGCTAAGTCAGCCCCCAGCACAGGCAGCGGTGGGCAATGACACATCCAGGGAGGAGTAAGAGTTCTGTGTGGAAGGAGTGGGCAAGGGGCAGGCTGAGGTGGGACGTGGGGAGAGGGGCCAGAGCACGGATGCTCAGAGTGGTCCTGCCAACCTCCACCCACTCCTGCCCCAGGAAGACGGGCCCCACTGTGGCCCAGGCCAGATGGAACCTGATTGGTCACTCAGCTGGCTGTAGCTCAGGTCCAGGGGTTTCAGGCCCATGTGGGCCAGCAGGAGTTCAGCAAGGTACTGGGCCGCCTGCTCCTCCAGGCTGTTCCCTGCCAGCTGTACCCTCTGCATGGCCGGGGTCACTGTGAGGGCAGCACACACAGCCTGGGCACCCACCACTCCCGGCTGGTTCTCTGACAGGTCCACATCTGGGGGCTGGCACCACTCCCCAGTCAGTGGGACCCAAGTCAGACACTGCCCTCCTCCACCTTCCTCCAGCCCCCAAACTGCAGGCCTGAGGCAGTGGGAGGGGCTTTGCAGGGGGACTGTCCTGGGGTTGCATGGCCATTCTGCTACCCATCGGCTGGATACCTCACCCCACCCCGTGTGTCCACGAGCTTCTTTGTCAAGGGGTTAAGGCCACCTCCTTTGTGGTGCCGTGGAGGATGCTGGGATGGAGGTGCAGCCACCCTGTTGATGGCTCGTGCCTGGCAGCAATATAACCCCCACCAGAGCCCTCACTGCCACATCTCTGGGGACTGGCAATGATAGCGCAAGGGGCCATGCATGGAGCACGTACACGGGCAGACACTCTGCTGAGCATTTAATGCTCATCACAACCCCAAGGGCTAAGTGGCATTGTTGGGTCCGTTTCACAGATTGGAGACTGAGGCTCGGCAAGGTTGAGCTGCTTGCCCAGGGTCACACTGCTCTTCTGTGGCAGAGATGGCATTTGGATCCAGTCCCACCAACTCCCACCCAGCCCTCCCTCCTCTCACACTGCCAGCCCCATCTCTCTGTGTGGAAGGACCTTCCCACCCTGCATTCAGGCACTGGGAGGCCACCACATGCAGGAGGCACTGGCCAGCAGAGGAGGGGGCTGGAGGAGTGGGGCGGGTGAAGGAGGGAGTGTCATCCAGCATTGGTTGCAGCACAGAGGGTCTAACTCCACCCCCCCAATCCTGTGCTGAGGCCCCTCCCTCAGCAACCCCAGCAGGTCCAGGGGGAGAAGGCCTGGCTGTGGGGGTCCCACACCCCGCAGGAAAGGGAGGACTCAAGTCTGCCTACCTGTCCCAGGCTGGGCACCTACTACAGATGCTGCTGCTTCTGCTCAGGACACCTGCCAGGACCTGTGCACCAGCCCCGCACAGCCCAGTGTCCGAAAGCTCCAGCCACTTGACACAGCGATTGGAGGTCAGCATGGAAGCCAGAGCCCGGGCCCCCTTGGACAGAGAGGGGCCTGAGGGCGTGATCCTCCCCAGGGCTGAGGGCCCCGCACATAGCTGCTGACTACCCTGGCTCCTGTTCCCAGGGCTCCGCCCACTTGATGCCCTCCACCTGGAAGGCCCTCCCCTTCCTACAGGCCCAGGGGATGACTGCTTCTCCATCTAGGCTCCACCAGACCTCCTGGAGCCTTCCCTGACACCCCAGTGCAATAGGGGGGCTCCCCAACCCCTAGAGTGATCTCCGTCACAGCCTGGATCCCATCTGCCACCCAGATGTGAGGGATGGGACATACCCGGCACAGAGCAAGGCTGGGGAATGTGTGGGATGGGCTCAGGGAGGGCCACTCCCATGGCTGCTGCCTCCCAGGTCCTATGCTCCAAGCCTGGCCCAGTGTCCCTCCAGGGGTAGCTGGGGCCCCAGGCCATGGTGCCACAGGTTCAGCTCTGGGGCACTTCCCTGGCACAGAAACCAGGAGGCAGGCATGACACTGTGGGCCTGGGGAGACCTCAGGGAGAGGGTGTCCTTGAGGAGCACTCCAAGCCCTGGGTGCCTGATAGGAGACAGGGGCTAAGTGTGGCTGCCTCCCCAGGCACCGCCGCCTGCCTCCTCCCCTGCATCTGTCACTCCCCAGCCTGTTTCCCATCTAGAGGCATTTCTTCCTGTGCCAGTAGCCACTCCTGCCCCATACACAGATGGGGACACCGAGGCTCAGAGAAAGCAATTCCTTTCCTCAAAGTCACACGGCTAGAAGTAGCTGATCCCAGCAGAGCCAGACTTAGGACCTGCCTGTCTGACAGCAAAGTGCACATTATGTCTTTTCTATTGCATTGCAGACCACGTATGTTTCATGAACATTTTATAGGGCACAACACTGAAATAATTCTAAGTTCTATGCAATCATTAGTTTACTTTCTCCCATGGGTTCTGAAAACCCAGCCGCAATCCTATTTCAGGGAGGGGTGGTGCACCCTTCCTTAGACTGTTTGGCTGGGTTTTTGCATTTTAACCTCATTCTGGAAGTGTGTTCTGATGGTGGAACAACTGATGCTGCCAAGAGCATTTCCGGGAGGGCACGGGGCCGGAGTGGCCGCCGGCTGCCCTGCAGGGGTCCCACGGAGGGATGTAGTCTCTGCTGGACATGCATCCCCTGCCCCCTCCACAAGTGCCTAGAAGCCCCCAAGGTGAGAGACAGACCTGAACCCCTTGACCGGGCACCTGCTGTCTGAAGGTTGGAGTCCAAACCCGGGTCCAAAGTCTCCTTGGCCACCAGGATCCCTTCTTCCTGAAGCTTTCCTTGGCCCCTCCTCTGGGCTCTGCCATCACCATGGCACCCTCTCAAAGTACCTATAACCCTGTCACCCTTGAGGAAGTGAGGCGAAAGGGCAGGGGAGAGGGGCTGCTCCTGTCTGTGCCCCAGGGCCGAGCAGAGGGAGGTTGGGAAGGAAGGGAGGCCCAGGGCAACTGGGGGTTGAGGCTGAGCCCAGGGCTGGGGTGGGGCTGGATCCTGCCCCCAGTGGAAGTGTCCTTTTAATGGCTGCTGGCCTGGCCTGGCCTGGGACCCTGCTTTGCCTCCTATTCAGCTGAGGCTGCAGCTGCTGTGCTGACTCCTGCTCCCAGGAGCCAGCAGGAGCTGAGAGCAGGGGCTCCCCACGGATCAGGACAGGCTGGGGTCTTCTGGATTACAAAATTGAGAAGTAAGGGATGACCAGGAAGTGGCGGGTGGACGCCCTGCAGAAGCTGCTGCAGCTCGGGGTCCTGGTCTGCGTGGTGGGTGAGAGAATGGCTCCTGGGTGGGTTGGCTGTAGGGACCCTGACTGGTCCTGCTGGGCTGAGGGTTGGGGGTCTGACTCTTCAGGGACCGGGCTGGTGGTGGTGGAGGGGGCATGTTGGAACAGGGGAGGGGCAGAAGGAAGGCTCTCTGTCTCTCTAGAGGCCAGCAGGGACAAGAGCGAGCCATATGCTTGTGTCCCCCTGTGTGGCCACTTACCTCCTTTCTTGGGCCTTGTCCCCAGCCATGTGTTGGGCTCTGGGTGCAGAGCAGGATGGTCTTGCCCTGCCCAGGAGGCCCAGGAAGGGCAGGAGGTAGTCCCTGACCCCTGTGAGAGCTGCAGCTCTGAGGTCCCTGAGAAAGGCCACCAGCTGTGCTGGGTCAGGGGAGCCTTTGAGGAGGAGATGGTGTGGCTGGGGCAGGGGAGGGGGATGGCTGGTGAGGGAGGAGGTGGGCAGCTCAGTCTGAGCACATGGCTCTCCGATGTGTGGCTGCAATGTCTGGTCTGTGCAGGGTGTTTGGGTGGAAATGAGGCTGGAGAAGAGGCAGGGCCTGAAGGCTGTGCTGGGAGCCTATAGGATGTGTAGGGGCTGAGTGGGTGGGGCCAGCTCTACTGCTGGTCACCCTGTGCAGTGGATGTGCCACACTGCCCATCGCCTCCTCCCAAGGTGGGCCCTCCTTGCCAAAAAAGGGTACCAGGAGCACTCCCTGGATCCTCAGGTTTCTGTCATCATGAAACTCAAAGGGGTTTCTGTGACCCAGAAAAGGAGATGGGACATGATGACTTCGTGAAGCCACCACAAGTGGGTGTGTGGGTGCTGCTGCCAGGCGCTCACACCTCTGACCCCACCCCTGCAGCGAGTGTGTGCAAGAGGGGATGTGATGCCAGAGGGGGTGCTGGCGCTGTCACAGGGCCAGGCTCAGGAAGGGCCTGAACGAGGAGTGGCCCTGGACAGGTTCTCAGGGATGTGTAAGAGGTTTCCAGGTGGACAGGGGGAGGAGTCAGGGAGCCGGGCCAGAGGGACTGCATTTACAAAGGGGAATCTGGAAGAATGGAGGGTCTGAGGGCTCCAGCCTTGAACTAGAGGGAGGGGTGGGGGCAGGGGGCAGGGCCTGGAGCTCCTGAATGCTCCCTCCCTGCCCTTTGTCTTGTGGGCTGGCTCCCCCTCTGCTCACCCCACGCTGCCTTCCGGGCCTCCTCCCTCCACCCAGATCTTCCACAGCCCCCATTTCCTCTGTTCTGCTGATGCCCACACTGTACCCCAGGGACACCTGCCCCAGCATAGCCACCTCCTGGTGCACACCCGCCTTGTCCAAAGGAACCCTCTCCCTCTCCCCAGGGGGTGCTCTTTTCATCCAATGAGGCCATGATGTCCCCAGGGCCAACGCTGGACCTGGCTTGACACCTCCCCCTCCCTCCCTCCCATCCATTCCATCTGTGACAGTTTCCCTGCTGCCTCCGTTGTCCCTGTGGTCTTCCTGTGGGTCCCAGGTGAGCTCATGCAGCAGCCAGGCTGAACTTTCACAGGTGACACCATCAGACCTGCCAGCCATTGCTTGCCACCCTTGGAGGCTCCCTTCCGTGATGGTGGCCACCTAGTCCCTGCAGATCCTGACCGCTGCCCCCAGCTGCCCTCTGCCCAGCCCTCCCCTCCCTTCCTGCATGTGCGTCCCCCTACATGTGCAGAGCTGTCATGGGCAGCACATGGTGCCAACCACCCTTCCCCACAGCCCCTGCCTTTTCCCAGGCAGAGCTCACCACCTGCTCCCCTGGCCCCCAGTCATGCATGCAATGAGGGGTCCACCTCCCCACTAGCCTGGGTGGGCACCCGGCCCCATTTAGCTCTGGATCCTCAGTGCCTAGAGCAGTAGGTTCATGGAGAATTCTGGTTGAGCAAATGAGAGTGAATAAAGAAAAATACTTGCCCCAAAGAGGCAGACAGGGGCTCAGAAATGGCTGGAAACCCAGCCAGCCTCCTGTCTCAGCCTCAACTTGCCTCACTGGAGGCACAGGGTTGTCCTGGGGCACAGGATCAATGACTCGATGGGACAGGACCCCTTCCCTCCCAAACCCAGATGCCAGCCTCTGGCCTCTCCCATCGAGGAACCAAGCAGGGCCAACCCTGACCCCTGCCTTCCAGGGAGAGAATGTGCTCTTCTTGGTGACCAATTTCCTTGTGACACCAGAACAAGCTCAGAGCAGATGCCCAGAGGTCAGGCTGCCTGGGAGCCTCTCAGTGGGTCCCTGGTTCCTCCACCAGCCCTGGGTCACAGCCGTGTCCCCCCTTCTCCTTCCCAGGTGCTTGAGGCTCAGCATGTGCTGCTGTAGCCCAGGCTCTGAGCTGAGACCTTTCCTGAATCATTTCATTTCGTCTCCCAAGCACCCTGCCTGGCAGGAATTACTGCAGGCCCCATTGAAGAGGAGAAGACTGAGGCTCAGCCAGGCTGAGTCACTGACCCAAGGCCTCCAGTGTGTGGGGGTCGGGAGTCTGCACCTCAGAGCAGTCTGCTTCCAGATCCTTCCACTGCTGTTTTCTGTGTGTTTCCAGGCCCCTCCCCACCCTGGCCCCTCCTCTGGGCACTCTCCAGGTTGTCAGTGTAACCCCCAGAACCGGGCACAATGCTTAGGTGGGCTCCGTTAGCAAGAGCCAAGCTGGAAGATCACCTCCCCTTCTCTATGCCTAGCCTCTGTTAATGTGTCCCAGGGCAGCTTCCATTTTTTTTGGCAAACATAGCACATTCCTTATGCGGAGCACAGGGTCACTTATGATCTCTGGATATTTTTCTCGACAAGTGTGGTCAAGCTAGAGTGGGCCACCCTCTTCTTGCTTGTTCATGTGGAAACGCAGACTCTTCCTCCAAATCCCACCTTTTCCTCTCACCTGGGGACGTCCCAGGTGCCTAGTGACTCTCACAGATCACACTCGCTGTCCTCCCCAGCTGTGGATATTTTTCCCAATATTTTTATTTCCATAAAATATGTGTAATGTAAAATTTACCATCTTAACCACTTTTACATGCCCAGTTGCCCAGTTGTGGATTTTGTGTGAACAGTTGGGACCCAGACCCAGCCCTGGAAGCCTACTTCCACAGCGATATCTTTCTGACCAACACTGAATCACTTGCTGGGCTGGAGGGTAACTGTGTGGCCCCTGTCCCCTGAGTCCTGGTCATTGGTCCCACCACAGTGGCTAGGGTGCCACATGTGCCTGGTTGGCCCCGTCCACAATGAGGTGAGGCACGTGCACAGAGGATGTGCTGACGTTCAGAAACACACACGACGTCCTTCCCTTTCTAAATGTTCAGAGACGTCTGGTTAATGTTCGGTTTGTAGACTGTCCTGAAATTGTGCTGGGGCCATGGCTGTGTGTTTTCTGGAATCCGTGTGATCCTCTTTGCTCCTCTCCGGGCTTCTGGCCCTTCCCTCAAAACTGCTGGGGCTGGGTAATCCACCAGATCTGACAAGCCGGCTTCCTGAGAATAGCAGAGTTCCTGCCAGCTCCTCTCAGGGGCCTGGTTGTCTGGTCCCTCCCAGCACATGCACTGTGTCCTTGTAGTGTCACAGCCTCCAGCGAACACCTGTCAAACCTTTCCCAGACCAGGCTTGCAAAACTCCACTGTCCCCACCTCACAGAGCTCCTGCATTGACAGCGCAGCTAAGGCGGCCGGTCCTACGATGGGGACAGAAGCTACAGCTGGGAGACCCAGGGAGGCACGTCAGGTGACCCGGGGCATTGGGAAGGGTTTCCTGCAGGGTGTGAGGCTGGAGGGGGATCTTGAGGATGTCCAGGCAGAGGGGGCTACGTGGACAAAGGCCCTGAGCTGTGTGAGATGAGGCCCCTTGGAGGCTCCCTGCACTGAGTGGGGTTGTCCCTAGGTTTGGACTGGACCAGGAAGGGTGTCCTCCTGGATCACAGGGCCTGTGAGCTCATCTCAGGAGCTGAAGTGGATCCAGCAGCAGCGGAGCCACAGACGGGCCCAGGGGAGGGGCGGGCGACCGTCTGTGCATTGGGATGGACCACGTGGCCTGCTGGAGGGAGGTGGATGGGGGCAGAGGTGGGGCCCGTGCTGGTCACCATGGGGTCTGATTGGAGGAGATGGTGGCCCAGCCCGGGTGGAGAGGAGGGGCAGACTCAGGACATAGGTAGGGACAGCAAGGCAGAGCAGGTGGCCCCATGCTGTCCCTGCCCACTTCTCACAGTCCCACCCCCACAAAGTCGCAGCATCTCCTTTGGCTTCTCCCCAGCCCTTCCTGCCACCCTGGTGCTGTGTTCCTCCTGCTGCCCCTGAGCCAGGGGCCCTGGACAGCGGCATCCACCCACCGCCTGGCAGAGCCATATCTGTGCCAGTGCCCAATGCTTGAGGGCACTTC